AGTGCAGGACCAGATCCTAATTCCTTTCTTTTTCAGGGAAAAGGATCTGTGATAATGACTGCTTACAGTTGTTAGCTGATCATAAAAGACTCCACTTTTTTACTCTAAACAAGATTCTTTCTCCTCATATCTTGTGGCGCCTTGCAGTGTGGATTATCTGGCTGGGCTCATCCCACAGACAAATCCCCCTCTATTCCCAGAATTCCTGTGTTCCTGTGCCCCTTGTGCTCATCACAAACAAGATTTTGCAGAGCTCTGAAACAAAAGCCACCCACAGATGAGGCAAAGCATTCCAAAATCTCCCCTTCTCTGACTTCTTCCACTGCAATCAAGAGAAGAAACGGAACAACGCGGATTTGGGGTATTGAAGGCTACAAGAAATTCCTTGTGCTGTGCAAAGCCCAACAACCCCACAGGGGAGCCCAAACAGCCACCAGGTCCTGCCAAATGGATGGATGCAGTGCCAGGGAGGTTGGGGACCACAGCAAACGAGAGGTAAAACACTCGAGACTTCCCAAAAACCAAACTTGGACCTTCATTTCAAAGTGGCCCTCATCCCACCAGGTTAAAGGGGGAATGCAGACAGGAATCACAGTGCCTGCTCAACACATTTCTCTACATCCAGTAAAACCCATGAGAGCAATTTTTAGATTATAAATGATTTTGGCAATCGGGACATTTTCAATGAATTTGCACACAAAATGTTCACAACTGTGTTACAAGAGTTAAAATCACTAAATTGCAGTGAAATGTCCACAGAACTTTCTAGGTCAGCTTCTGTTACAGAAAGGTCAGTTATGATTTGCAATATTCTCTTTTGAAACTCCTCATTATTTTGCAACCAAAATAGGCTCACAGTATTTAAATTGGACAAACAGGCCCTTCATATTCCTCCTTTTGCTTTGTGTTTGCACAGCACCACAACAAGTTCTCTGCAGCACTACCAAAATACACCAAAAAATCACATTGTTGGTGATAAAATGATTGCTTAAGGGTTATATTGTTGTGTTACATTCTCAGCCTCAAAGGGAGAGAGCGTATCCTGTGCTGTTTTGTTGTTGACACTGGTTTCATGTTGTTCTTCAGGCTCTAAATAAAAGGATGTGCTTGGGAAATCAGGACTGTGCCTTTCCAGTGCTGCTTTGGAGTAGACAAGAACATGACAACAACATTTCCTGCAATTTTACTAGAAAATTAAAATGTTCTGAGCACTGGCACAGTTCAAAAGCCCCTGGCATGGTTTGGACCAGTGCAGAACTGAGCACACACAACTCCTGGCTCCATTTCAGGACACAGATTATTCCTGTTTGGCAGATTGTATGACACTAACCTGCCTGGAAAACAATTGGAGTTCAATAATCCAAGTGTGGGCTGCACCACTCTTTGCCCTCCACACTAAATAATAGGTCTGGGCACACTTAATTAGCTAATTTGGCCACAGCCAGGACACAAGTGAACTATTCAGGGACTCTTTTAGGAGAACTCCTTGTCATTTGCTGGGAAATTAAACAAATCACTGAAATCTCATATGTCTTGTAGGTTTTGCCTCAGAGAATAACCAAAGCAGATAATTTGAACAGAATCCTCTAAATTGGCCTGGATTGGCTCATTACCTGGCTGTTGTGTTCAAACAAACATAATGTTTGCTGGGAGAGGAGGAAGAGTTCAGAAATACTTTTTTTTTTCTTTTTTTCCTTTTTTTTTCTTTTTTTTTTCTTTTTTCTTTTTTTTTTTTTTTTTTTTTTTTTTTTTTTTTTTTTTCAGTGCAGATTAATAATATGTATATATTTTTGTCAGGAAGAAAGGCAGAGAGAGCAAAAATAGCTCTCAAGTGAGGCTGCTGCTACTCACTCCCCTTTTCCTGGATCCCTGACAGCCATTATGTAACCAAAAGGAAAATTAGATGAAATAAACAGCAGAAGTTAATTGGGTCGATATCAAGTAAAAATATAATTAGTCAAAGTATTTTGTGGCAAAGGCACTGACAGTATGTGGCTGTTCCTCAGCTTCAGTGGTGAGCAGGGATCCTGCCATGTGTTTAAAACTTATTCATCGAGCATTTCCATGGAAACACACAGATGCATAACCTTTGGATCACTTATTTTGGGAATTGCTGCTCCCAAGGTTCTCTCTGGAGTGAAAACTCAGTCCAGGAGAGGATAACAAACTGTGGTTCTGATTCAGAAACTCTCCACAAAGGAATTCATCCCTAGCAGGATTGGGTGAGGGAAAGAAGGAAAGGGCATCTTGCAAAAAAGAAGAAAAGACAAAAAGCTTGACCCTAATTTTTTCCTCTCAGAGACTGAGAATTGAGAAATGACAGCACTGGGAAGAGCCTGGAGAGTTTAGAAATGGCCAGATGCCCTCAGGAAGATTGAAATGTCTGCAAGAGTGTCAAATAAATGCTGTAATGAGAGAGACCTTGGTTAAACACTGGGTTTGTTGTCCAAAGCTGCCCCCTTACAAAGTGAGATGAGAACCAGCTCCACTACAACTTCTCCAGGTGAAGAAAAACCCTCCCACGTTGGAATTGTCACAAGCTGATCCCACTTACTGTGACAGCAGCTCCCTGCTCCTACAAAACCCATGGACTCTTGCCAAAATGTGGCCCTTCCCTCATGCTGTGAAAGCCAGGTCAGGCTGCTTGCGATGCACAAATCCACAAAGAGCATTTGGAAAGCATCAGTAAAACTTTGCTGTCTGAACTAAAGGTGCTCATAGTACTTCCATAGGAAGTAAACACTGCATGGAAAGCAGGAGTGGTGTGGTGGGAGGGCAGCCCTGAAATTCCCTTCACATTCTTCCTGCTTCAAGGAGTAAAATCAGCCCCTGGGTCCCCTCCCAGGATAATTTCTGGTAAGAGATGCTCAGACAGTGGGGTTTGGGATATGATTCCCTTTCACAGCAGGGCCAGGAGTGAGGAATGTTCTCTAAACCAACAGGATTCTCCCACTCCTGGTCTCTGTGTCCAGGCCAGGCTCTGACTGGGAAGGGAAAGCAAATTATTCATAATGCCTGAAAGATAATGAACCCCATTATATCAGCATTAGTAGTTTGACATAAAGCCTCAAAAGCCAGAGCCTTCAGAGGTTGTTCATAATTATTTGAGGATTCTGTTGCTGCAGTGATGTGATAACTCCTGTGGACTGGAATTTCCTTAGGCACAACAGAGAGCTGAGCATAAAATGTGAAGCCTTAACTTCAAATTTTCTGGCTTTGGCTTAAGTCTGCCTCACAAAGACCCTGCAATGCCTTTTGATTGTGTTTTGTCATGCATTGCCCAGCATCAGGGCTAATGCAAGCAGGCACACTGTCACTGACTGAGGGAGTTCATTCAGAACTGAGGGCCCTGGGACACAGCTCCCAGTGCTGCCACTGCCATCAGCCCTGATAAGGCTCTCCTGAGACACACAGAAAACTGAAAAGGTGACAGGATGGGGGGCACGGCCTTAAAACATGGAATTGCTCTCAGATTCTGTGCTGCTGGAGGGCTTTGAGACTTTCTTTGAAAGAGGAGCAGGTCAGGAGGAGAAACAACCAGGCTACAACCCTTAACCCTTTTTTCCCCCCTGGGTATTTCAATAAAACTCTGCAAGGGTCTGTGATCTTTCTCTACAGGTGCTGTGAGACTCCACACAGGATCTGCTGCACAGCACATGTTTCTAGGAGTGAAAAAGGCTTTTAGAGACACACTGACCCAACTGAGAGCAACACTCCATAAAGAATGGCACAAAATCACAGCAGTGCTGCTTTTTAGATGGGATATTGGGAAGAAATCCTTCCTTATGAGAGTAACGAGGCCCTGGCACAGGGTTCCCAGAGAAGCTGTGGCTGCCTCTGGATCCCTGGAAGTGTCCAAGGCCAGGTTGGACAGGTTTTGGAGCAACCTGGGGTAATGGAAGGTGTCCCTGACCATGGCACAAGGTGGGGACTGGGTGATTTTAAGGTCCCTTCCCACCCAAACCATTCTGAAATTCTCTATTCAAAGTCAAGCACCTGGGCAGACCCACCAGAAGATTTTTCCCTTTACAGTCTGGCAGGAGAATGACAGCAGCTAGCCAGAAGGGAAAGAATTAGGAATTCAAGAGCTGAAATTCCTGCAGGAAGAAGCCCCAGAAAACACAAGAATTTCAGCTGAAAACAGCAATTACCCCAGACCTCACCATGTGCTCCATGCAAAACACATTCGATTAAAGCACTCTCCTCCTCAGTGCACTCTTTTTTTCCCTGGCACACAACCATAACAAAGCTATTTATCTCTAAAGGCTGGGAAACTAAAAAAAAAAGGCCCAGATCATTAGAGGACAAGGTACACTTGAATTAAAGGCCACAGGCACAGTGAATTCAAATGAAATCTGAAGTACCGTTGGTTTTACGTTGCTGGGAGAAGGACACACAATTCCTTGTCTCATTATCAGCAAGACATTGATTTTCTGTGGAAGTGTGCTTGAATTGCTCTTGATAGATATTACAACTTTCCTTCAACAAGAAGAGGATTGGTTCTTTCTAAAAGCTGTTGGCTTAAAAAAAACCAAAAAACAAACCTTCTTGTACTTATTTAATACTTTCCCCACAGCAATGCAATTGATGGAAAAAATAGCTCAGCAATAGCTCATTTTCTCTGCTCCCCCCCAAGTGAATCCATTGCCTCATTTATATCTTTTATCTCCCTAAGATCTTTTTTGGTGCATAAAAAATTTCATTCATTAAACTGCAAAGGGGCGAGGGGGGACAGGATATCTGCCTAAACCCATCTTGTGGAATTTATATATGGGTGTGGATAGGATGACTTGATAAGAAACAAGAGTTTGCTTTAATTTTATTTTCTGTGTAGCAATAAAATGAGGGTGCTTGGCATCCAATTTTTGTGTTAGCAAAACACAATGGATTTAGCAAAGAACAAGGATGATCATTTTATTGATTAACACAGGAAAAGGTTGTGTGTTGACTTAGAGCAATAACAAGAGGAATGATGACTTTTCCGTGTCTTTTTGTTTTCCATGGCAGCCAACGTCCTGGAAGAAGACTCAATGGAGCAGGACATCGAGAGCCCTGTCACAATCCATCAACCAAAGTTGCCCAAACAAGCGAGAGAGGATCTGCCAAAAAACATCAGCAAAGAATGTGCCAAGAGGAAAATCCAGAGGTACGTTCGGAAAGATGGGAAATGCAACGTCCACCACGGGAATGTCAGAGAGACTTACCGGTACTTGACTGACATCTTCACCACCCTGGTGGATCTCAAGTGGAGGTTCAACCTGCTGATCTTTGTCATGGTTTACACGGTGACCTGGCTCTTCTTCGGCATGATCTGGTGGCTCATTGCCTACATGCGAGGGGACATGGATCACATAGGGGACAGCACGTGGACCCCCTGCGTCAGCAACCTCAATGGGTTTGTCTCAGCCTTTTTATTCTCAATCGAGACCGAAACCACCATTGGGTACGGTTACCGGGTCATCACGGACAAGTGTCCCGAGGGAATTATCCTGCTTTTAGTGCAGTCTGTCCTAGGTTCTATCGTCAACGCCTTCATGGTTGGCTGCATGTTTGTGAAAATATCCCAACCCAAGAAGAGGGCAGAAACCTTGGTTTTTTCTACAAACGCAGTCATTTCCATGCGGGATGGAAAGCTGTGTCTGATGTTCCGAGTAGGAGACCTTAGGAATTCACACATTGTAGAGGCATCAATACGAGCCAAGTTGATCAAATCCAAACAGACAAAGGAGGGGGAATTTATACCACTCAACCAGACAGATATCAACGTAGGTTATTACACAGGGGATGACCGTCTCTTTTTGGTTTCACCACTGATCATCAGCCATGAGATTAACCAGCAGAGTCCTTTCTGGGAGATTTCCAAAGCCCAGTTGCCCAAAGAGGAGCTAGAAATTGTTGTAATCCTAGAAGGAATGGTGGAGGCAACAGGTAACATTTCTTATACTTTGTATGAGGTAAATGCTTTAATTTTAGCAAGGAAAATCAGTGGTTTTGCTTCGTTTTAAAGGAATCACTTCCACAGTCGTTGCATTTGAAAAAGGAGTTCGTTCTCTGGTGAGCTTCAGAATTAAAAGCATGCCCAGTTTAATTGTCTGTTCCATCTTGCCTAACGGAATTAGTGTTGTTTCTGCTCTGTTTGGAAAATGGGATAGCATCTCTCATTTTCTAAATTTTTCACAGCATGTCACCCAGTTATTTGTCATTCTATTGCAGGAGCAGCTCAACCACAGGGACCTTGTGGGATAAAATTGCTTAGGGAAAAACAAAAAAAAAACAAAAAAAAATTCAATGCAAAAACTCTGTTTGTGATTAACGTGGAAGCACCGTGGTCCTGCTGCTTCCAATCACTCCTGGGTATCTGCAGAACAACTGCCAGCCCTGTGGCATTCCAAGGCTGGATCCAGTAGGAAGTGATATGTTCAGTTCTCTCTCTTTTTTTTTTTTTTTTGCCTGCTCGTTTTCCTTGGTTTTTGTTTTAACTGGTAACGTGGGGCTTGTTCCACTCTAGCTCACAAAAGGTCTCATCTGAGTTGGTGTTTGACTGGGGCCCCCCACAGGAGTGCACAGAACACTGGAAGCTGGGATGTACAAACAAGGAATGTTGTGTCACCGGAGTCTCGTGGAGGTGCTGGGTGGTTGTTACCTGCAATCATGCAGCAGAACAGCAGAAATCACTTGGTGCAGGGGAAAAAAGTGCTTGAAATCCACAGCAAATGCACCACTAAAATAATGTTTCTTTTTTTTTTTTGTATTAAAGCCAGAATTATAGGAGGGTACTTTTATCTGTGTTTTAGAAGCTGGAGGTGTTTTTTTCCTGTTAATAACAGCATCAATGCCTGAAATGAGTAAATATAATCAACACAAGGGAATGGCTATTATAAAATGAAGATTTGATGTGCTTGGGGGATGAGAAAACACTGATTATAGAAATATAAGAATGAGATTTGCCATTTTTCCCCACGACTGCAGCAAAACCCAGCAAAGTTTGAGCACGTGGATTCCACAGCTCTGACAGAGGCACAACCTTTCCAACCCTGACTCATGTTTTGCAACTGGAGCCAGGAAATAAAGAGCAGTCTCTTACTAGAACATGTGTGTGTGTTTCACACATCTATTATGTGGTGTCAGAAGAAAACTGCATTTGTCACCATATAATAAACGTGTGAGACAAAAATGGAGCAGAGGGGAAAAAAAAAAAAAAAAACCACAACAAAAAACTGAAGGGAACTTGGCAGGGAATTTGAAGTGGTAAATGCAAGGCTTTCCAAATTTTCCAGGAAGTAGGTGGTACTGAAGAGAAATCAAGATGAAATGTTTAGTGCTCCTGATCTGTGCAGTAAGCACCGAGATTTCAAACATCTGCATCACCTTCGGGTGAGACGATGGGGAAATTGCTCTTTGTTCCCTGAAACCATCCTGAGATCTCAGAACTGCAGCTGAAGGAACTTGATATCCCAAGGGGGTGGGGGATATTTTCAGGATTGCTGAACACTGTGTTTTCCAGCAAAGAGATTGGCAAGTAGTGGCAGAATAAAAAATGTCTCACCAAAACCACCTACAGGATCAAAAGACAGAATATTTCTGCAGTGCAGCAGATGTGGATTTGTTGGTTTAGAGTCTCATCTCTATTTGTGAGCCCCCCTTCTCTCACCTCATTTTCCCCCCTGCACACCCCAGGGCTCTCTCCCAGGGGTGTTCTTTGCTGCTCTGTTCTTTGGCCTGGCCACCTCTCCCACTCAGCCACCACCAGCCTCCACTGCAGCACAAACCCCCTCAGACTGCTTGGGCTGGCAGGGTTTGAGATAAAATCACATCTGTCATTATCTCAAACCTTTCCAGTCCTTATCAAGAGAGAAACTGAATGCAGTGATTTGGAAACCCACGGAATATATCCAGGATTAAAGAGTTTCCCCTGCACTGGATGGGGTCCGTTTCCCGTTTTAGGTTGTTCTGTTTGGGTAAAGTCTCCTGCTGAGTGAGATATGAGCAGAGGGCATCAAATAATGTCAGAATTACCAGCACAACTCCTAAAACATATTTGTGCATAAGTAGCTTCTTGTGCTGTGCTTTGACCCCTTGCACTGAGTTATTTTTGTTGAAGGTACATTCAGGCCAACCTTCTACCAACACTTGGAATTTTCACTCTTTTAATTTACAAATATTCACACAAATATGACACAAATTTACACAAATATTACAAACATTTCTGTTTATTTGCATCCTGGCAAACACTGAAAGCCGATTTTGGCAGTCAAATACTCACCTTTCCTTCTCCCACCTGCTGCAGGGTGAGAACAGGGAAAGAAGCTGCTCCCAGCAGCAAAGCCCAGCCCTGCATTCCTGCCAGCAGAGTTATGGAATCCAAAATTATAAAATTATAAAGGCTGAAGCCAGGAAAATGTGATGTCACCTACAGCAGTGTCCCCATTTGGTGTCACTGCTGAGGGATCCAAACCAGGCTGAGGTCATCAGGTTGTGTCATCCATCAGAAAAGCCACTCCCAAATCTGAGCAGGGAAAAACAATCTTTTCTCTGTTTTCAGAGCTTCCCCGCTCAGATAGAGCTTCCATGAGAAATAAAATGGGAAATGATAAGGGTAAACCTTTGCTAATATTGTTAGTAATTATTGATTCTGCTTAAATTTGACTCGACAGGTAAATACATTTATAATAATTTCCACACTGAGTGCTCCAAAATCACATTTATCTGTTGTATGAAACACAATTTTTATGGATTATCATGGGAATTCTGCATTGTGTGTTAGGACAGGAAATTAAGAAGAATGCATTTTCTTAAATGACATTAAAATAATGAACCTAATTAAAATTCAGCAGAAAGTTCAACTCAAGGATCCCTTAATTCCCCATGGAAGCATTGCCATAACTTCCTGAGATGCAAAAAGAAGTGGATGTGTCTTTTTTGAGGCACATAACAAAGTATTATCCCAGGGACAATCCCTACACCTTGATTATTCCCATTCTTTCTGCCATGAAAATCACTTTGAGGGCAGAATCCTCAGCAAGGCATTTTCCAAAAACATGAAGTCAATCTGACTCCTTCATCCAGCACCACCAAACACTCAAAATAAGCCTGGTTTTTAAAAATACTTGTTATGGATCCTTTCAATATGCATTTTTTTAAATGTATTTATTTACAGCAACATTCCAAAATATGTCTTTGATTTGAAGGATAAAACTTTTGCAAAGATTTATTTCTGTGCTTTTCCTGGTGGTGGTGCACATCTCTCCAGGGGTCAAAAACATTGATTTTGGGACAGCAAAAGCACATTAGGCTGCTGTGGAACCACTGAGGAGCCTTGAAAATGGGGGGAAAAAAATCCAACCAACCTTCACTGCAGCTGGATGACACATCTGGAATTTCCACACTTTTGCAGCCCATTTTCCAGGGTTTTAAATGTAAAATAACCTACAGTTAGGAATGTTTTATGATAATTGGATCCTAGCCATAGGCTTAAGCTTTTTAAGCCTTTTTCACCTGGTGAAATCTATTTCTAAGGGAAGTCTTATCATCATAAGCAAAGTAGGTATTTTTAAAAATTAGGCAAATGTATAATTTTGATAAGGAAATAAACCCATAAGGAGGAAAGGAAAGCCTTTTAAATTTGGAAGGTGCAGTGGGAAGGTCAGGTAGTGTACAATAGCCAGAGAAACTGAGAGAAATAAACTCAAAGAGAGAGAGAGATGAAAAAAAAAGGGGGGCAAAAATGGTGAGAAAGAGGAAAATTCTGAACATGACTTGTGAAGTTGTATCTGGCCAGTGGGATGCCCTTGGTGACACTGGCAATTCCCTCTGCCTAAAAATAAACATTTGAGCACTGAGCAGTTCCAAGGAAAGAAAATGATCTGCACATTTGTAGCTGTCAAAAAAAAAACCCCAAAAAACAAAAAAGCAACAAAGCTAGCCAGAGAACTTCAGGTTCAGAGGGATAATTTTGCAAATAAACTCAGAATAGGGTTCATTTACAATTCTGACACTGGGGCAGCTTTGAGAGCAGCATCTGCAGCAGGTTTTACAGCCACAGAAACAACCACACTTGCCAGCTGTGGAAAACATGTGTGCAAAGCAATAAAATGTTCACTTGGATGGTTATTTATACAGTAAACAGTGTTATCAACCAGACAAATATTGTATAAAGCTGTTGCCCTCTTCCCTGCAGCCCCTCTGTCTGACTGGTTTATTGTGGGTTTGATTTCTCTGGGATGAAATGCCATATTTACCCCTTGGCCTTGCCCAGCCCTAGCAAATGTCTCCCTCTGATATGGATTTAAGCAGTTCCAACCCTTCAAAACCTCTCAGCAGACTTTGCTCTCTCTCCAAATAAAAATTGCTGGGGTTAGAGTTTCTCACTTGAATTTTCTACTGCTCTTCAAGGAAGAAATATTTACCCTCTCCAACTGCTTCTTGAGGGCACGCAGGTGACAGGAAGAAAAACACCAGGATTTCTCCCACCTGAGTGTTTCTGCAAGACAAAGGACAAAAGTGGGTTTGATTGTGCTCCAGGATGTGACTGAAATGCAGTTTGAGCAGGGTCAGGAACAAGTGGCTTCTGCTCCAGACTGGATCATCTTCATCCCAGAAATGATCAGACCACAAGGGCTCTCCAGCCTGCAGCTTTCCTTCCTATTTTTAGGAGTTTTAACATCTCCTGCTGCTGGGTGCTAGACTTGGACAAGGTTTGACTTCTCACACATCCCCACTTCCCTGGAGTTGCCAGCAATTCCTTTCACTTCCATCCCATTTTAATTTTACTGAGTCTAACAAAGCATTCCACTGGTATTTATTCTCACACAGAAAACGATAGGCATTAGCAGGAGGGGAGCTCTAAATGCCAGCAGGGAAAGAAATTCCCATCTCATTGGCATGTTTCCTTCAGGAAGATTTCTCTACAGGTGGAAAAAGATGAGTTT